GACTTCTCAAGCATGAGGCTGTACAAGCTATGACTATCACTTTTTAATTCACGTTGTTTTATGAAAGTACTAATGTTGTACACAAACTGTGGTTAGACTAGGCAATCAGGAAAAACATTGCCTTATTACTCTCACGTAAAGTAGGATTCAAACCCATGGGTGCCTATGACCTAAACAAAAGATTACTGTACGATTAGATATGAACCCAATTGCCTGATATCTGTCATCGGCATTCATGCTGCAGGTAGTCTTTGGTAAAAGTACCAGAGTTTCTACTTTGAAAGACTAAGTGCTGCACGTATTCACAAGTAAAATCTAAGAATAAATGTAGGTTTTTGAGATGGTCGTGCAAGCCGGTGTGACCACGACTGAACACAAGAATGAAAGACCATGGTGCACCAAAATAGAACAACAAAAAGTGTTTACCTCACGGGTAATATCACTCTGGACCCTACCCCAAAAATCAACAAACTGTTAGTCAAATTCATCATATTCTCGTGAGCCAATGCACCCATGTGTAATGCGTCGTAGAGAGCAATGTATGTGCTTCTGGAAATGGACAAAAGGTCAATATATACTGGACGAATGATACTTTTGCCTAGGTTAGGAGGACCTTGGACAATGTTCCAAGGAGTAGAAAGAACAGTAATTTAGTCAAAAACCCTCCCAAACTGGAAAGACTTCCAGACTGCACAAAAGCAAAAAACAGAGGAGCTCACAAACTTTTTTCTTTTGCCTTCAAGTACCGGCCCACAACCCAAACAGACCGACGAACAAGTAAAAATCAATCTAGGGTGTTGCCAGTTCGAATTTAGGCTATGATTCGCCAAAAACTGCAAAAAGGCCGGGGCAGAATACCCTAATGGTCCTCCATTTCGCTGATGATAAAAGTCGATTACTTGGTCACGAGAAGGTTTCTACATTGCGCATAAGGCCCAAACACGCTCCCCTAGCTCCATATAGAGCTGTCCAGAAGGGTGCAGTAAACGATAAAACAATTAAGTAACACAGACAAGACGCGCGAGAGAATCGTTACAAAAATATCACTTAAAAATATGATCAGAGATATATATCATGACTGTGGAACGTTTAAGATGCAATAAAAACTTTCCACAGCTATCGTTATAAGGCCAGGCGATAACACTTAATTTAAGCTAGCTCATTGCTTCTTTTATTAAGAATAGTATGTTCTATGGGCTATAGGAACGCGAACTCTCGGGTCTACTTACACGATGCAGCCTAATATGCAATTACGTAGGAAACAACTTTACGCGAAGCGTGGCGCTGGCCAAGGCTACAGTAGAGTGAGGACTCTGCTAGCTTCGCCATGCATCTCAAAAGCCAGCAGTGAACACTCGAAAGTGGATTTATAATAATTACGGTTGTACGCATTTCCCGAGGCACGAAGTAGATATACCTCAGAAAAAAACCTCGTGTAGACTAACGCATTAAACTAGGCAAATGTTCATGGGTGATTACACGATAACTAAATACGCGAATGGTGTCACCGCAAATGGATTAAAGTTAGACAAAATATACCGAATGGTGACATTATGAGGTAGAAAAGTTGATATCTGCACTTGCCTCTCGCTTGCGAGCTTCCATAAGCTTGCGGTTGTTTTCTTCAAGAATACGTTCAAGTTCTTCTTGTTTACGTTTCTCTTCCTCCTTAAAGACGAAATAAGGACATGGGAAGGTATTTAGTCGGTAAACTACAACAGCAACTTGGCGATCCTGCGTCTCCATTCGCATGGAGTCTCAGGGCACACAAAAGGTAAATCCTGACAATAAAATTCTCTCACAGTCTGAAGTCATAGTAGGACAGTAAACGCAAGCAAAATGCTTGGTGGCCATAACATAATTTTTGAGAGATCAAGAAAATGGGACGCACCTCGACCCGCCTTTTCTCCTCTTGTGCACGCTGAATCTCTCTCTCGATCTCCTCCAGTCGATGTTTAACCTTTTTGTCTATTTCAGCCTGGTATAATCGCTCCAATTCTGCGCGCAAATCATCCGCCCTGTCAACCAGAGCGGCTTCAAAAGCCTCATTAACGCGAGCTTCCATTTGCTTTGCAGCTTCTTGTTCTCGTTCACGTTCCTCTAATGCGCGACGTTCTCTAAAAGAAAAAATATAAAATTGCGGAAACCACACCTTCATAAAAAATAAAGAATATACTGCACTGCATCTTAAGATGTGTGATGATTTTTCGATAAACGGAAACATAAATATATGTGTATTTATCAGCTCCACTCCAAATATATATAGGCCTCTCGATTTAATAAGAATAATTAACAGGATCGAGTAAATACTAGTTTCAGGGAGGTACGAAAATTGCCTGACACTACAGCAGCCATGAAGAAAATGGGCTGACAATTAAGAAATTATTTCACAATATCCGCGATTAATATGCGTCTTCATAGCAATACAAATCAAAGGACAAGCAGAACCCGAAAAAAA